GTCCCTCTGGCCTCCGCCCAATCTCTCTCCCTATAGTACTACTCTAGCTATGGCACCCAGCGCTGAAGACTACAGCTAACGCTACTAGCGCCCAGCACTGAAGACTACTGCTAATGCTACTACTACTCCTGCAGTGCTCCTCCAGAGTGCTGCTGCCGAATCCTGAAGACTACCTCCTGCCTCCTGAACTGCACGTGAAGTGCCTGGGAAGTACCTAGGAACTACCTCCGGCCTGCAGGGCGGGCCAGTCCTATATAGTGCTGGCCCGTCCAGGAGGCTGCTCTTGCCAATGCCTCAACGTGCCAGACCCTGGGGTTGAAGCTCAAACAAAGGTTGTCTTGAAACTAGGCCAGAAATGGCCTGAGCTAAAACCCTGGTTTGGTGCCTGAGTTTCGGGGCAGGCCGAACTCGTGAGGGCCCGAAAATGGCCCTCAGTTTCAGGCTGAAAACACTCAGGGCCGGAAAGGCCCTGATTTAGCCTGAAACGACACAGGGCCTGTAGGCCCTTGTTTTCAGGCTTTTGGCCTGAAAACGTCATGGGCCTGGAAATGGCCCGTGCAGCCTGTTGCAGGCGCAGCATGTAACATTGGTCAAGACTGACCCACCGACCGGGAATGACTGAACCGTGCAAATGAGAATGACAATCTCTGCTGATTTTTCATAATCTCTTTGGCTTGCTTGACGGTCTCAAATGATGTCGCTGTGCTGAGTGTCTCACCGTTCTGATCTTGATACTACACCGTGTATTCTATTATGGTCTGTCTCTTGATAATGTTGAGTGCTCTCTTTCTCATCTCACTTTTGAATGAAGCTATGTAGTCTGTTACTGTGTCTTCCCACTTGTCTGATCTTTCTCTACTGTGTCTTGCATGTTACCCATAGAACGTTCTTCTTTTTCATTTCTTCTTCCTCTTCAACAGAGAATTAGACCAGCTTGCACCACTGAAGGCATTGGTCTGATTTGAGTATCCGCACTTCCTTGTTGATTCTTTGGATTGAAGAAACTAAACCTGGCCCGGAAGATTATTGTCAATGCAACTCACTGATCGCCACTTACAATCTTCCTAGCTCGGTCAACAGTCTCGATGGATGAAGAAGTGCTATGCAATTTCTCGTCTGAACCGTGAAAATAGATCACGTATTCAATAAACTAATAAACTGTTGATCCTTCACCAGCTCGAGTGCTCTTTCCCTCATTATATTCTTGCAGAACTCAAATCTCTTCAAAGACTTTACTCTCCCACCCTTCCACTTTGCCTCAGTAGAGGGTGCAAGGCATCACCTGAGTGTCCTTGCTATACATGACTTTCCACCTTATGCCTTGTCGGGAATAGTCTTTGATTTAATGAACTGAAAAGAGAAGGTCAACTTTGTTTGTGTGGAGGTCTCCGAGCACAATGGAGGATGATGCTGTAATAAGGTTATTTGCTGCAAAGATTACTACTTGGGCTGTTTAAATAGGGCTGGGTTAATAGATGAATGGGCTCCAAAAAAGGGAAGGGTGACACTAGCAGCTCCATGGGACAAAGGAGTCTCGGGATGAGACAATAATGACCACAGCTTTAGGAAACACCAAACAGCAATCTCAGTGTTACAAGATGTATTAATGGGACGCTGGACCCGGTTTCCAGCAGGTGCCGCTCCCCACCAATAGATGGAGCAGCCCGAAAGGTAAGCCCTCAATTCTGACGGTTCTCCTACTGCCGCCAGGATAGAGGGATATCACAAGGGCTATTCTTGCAAAAGAAAAAAGAAAAAAAGAAAAAAACAAATAAAAGGGTTAGTTCCTGCAAAACCCGCCAGGGGCGCAGCGCTACTGGGAGCGCTGCGCCCCGTCCGACCAGGAGCGCCCATTCGGATTTCGCGTCTTCCCACGGCAACGGTGTCCTAGGGGTGTGAGCGGCCGGAGAGTGGCAGTGGGAGGGAGTGCATGGCGAGGGAGTAAGGCATGGTGGGTATAGTACCCTTATACAGCACAAGGCAGTTCTAGCAGTAATCTCTGATCGACAACTGCACGGGGTAACTCTGGTAGTAAGCTCCTATTGAATACTGCATAAGGTACCTCCGGCGGTAATCTTCAATCGAATACTGCATATTGTCAGACACATACCCAGTTAGTATAGCGCACAAGGCACCTCAGGCAGCAAGCAACCGAGGGGAAAAAAAAAAAAGTGGAAATACCATGGCTACGATGCGGTCATCCGGACCGCCGTCCAGACGGGCTGGATTCAGTCCGGACTCCAGACGTCCAGTCTGGCAGGTCTGGATATGCTAAATTTCAAGGGAAAGAAAAAAAAAAGGGTCCAGGACCCTTCCCCGTTGAGGACCCGAGCCCCCAAAATTATTTTGGGGGTTTTTCACGCCCGTTTTTGTTTTTTTTTGGGTATGGACATGGTCTACCTGTATAATAATTTATTATACGCACCCGTTTTTTACATTATTAACTAGGCTACCAGCCGGGCCGCTCGGGTCACATAGTTTTCCCGGGTGGCCCGGCCGCGCAAGGGCCAAAGAGCCAGCAAAAAAAATAAAAAATAAAAAAAATCTGAAAACGAAGTTTAACAAACTAAATTATGCAGAAAATAAACTGAACAACTTTTGCCTCAGGGTCACATCAGAATTGTTCGATGCCAGAACGACGCTGGCCGGTGCTTGGGGGTTGCCCTGTAACCTGCTGATTGCAGGATGGTGAGGCCTGGTAGAGAGATCTGGGGATGCTTTGGGGTGGGCATTCCAAGGGACACCCAAGAGTAGCTGTTGGGACGACGCTGGCCGGAGCTGGGGCGAGTTGTGTTGCTCTATAATCTAGCCAGGTGGGGGTGTGGGACCTGGGAGAGCTCGACAGGGAAAAAGACAATGTTGGACAGTTTTAGAGAGTTTTGTTTGGGAGTCTAGGGGTTCTGAGCATTCGAAAAGAGGTGATTAGTCATTCATAGTTTTTTTAACCTCTCCTTTAATTCTCTTGAATTTCTTCAATAGTTCTCAGATTGATTCTCAGCCGAAGCCGGGTAACGGCCCCGGCATCTCAAAAAAAAAAAAGAAAAAAAGAAAAAAAGAAAAAAAAAAAGAAAGAAAGAATTCTCCACCGATCCAGCGGCCTAGCTGAATTGGTTAGGCATGCGAGTGGCATTCAGGAGGTTGTGGGTTCAATCCCCATGGCCGCCTGTAG